GGAACGGCTGCAATTTCTCCATAGCACTGTGAGCATTGAGGCTACAGGAATTGGGGAAAGAAGAGGCAGCTTGGTTATGCTATGGAACACCACCTCCAGCACAAGAATTCTGTGTTTCCCTCTATGGGCCACTGCCAGAACTTGGAAAAGTTAAAAAGTTTTCTAAATAGCCATTCCTAGAATTGTACAGTCAGTGTGGTGAAGTTCATCCCCAGAAGTGATTTTTCCCCAAGTTCTGACAAGTTATCCTCCATTATGCAATTTTATTCCAGCTAAACTCTTCTCTCTGCAACCGCAATTTACTTCCAAGGAGGAAGAGGAGGGGATTCACACCCTGCTTTGTGCCCCAAAGAAATTAGAATTCTGGGCCCAGGCAACTGCAACTCTACACCAAGAAATGCTAAATTCTGCACCCTATATGAATTATGGAAACGGGACAAAATTGCATACTTTCCCTACTTTTTACATAATTTACAGTACAACATTTACTCTTTTGCATAATTTACTTCTCTTATTGTTGTTTTAGCTTATCATGGGGAGAGGCAAAGCGGGACGCAAAATTCACTAAAGCTCTATCCAAAACAAATGGCAATGATATGGAGCCACCAATTTGCTTTCTGAAAGTTCAGCCGTTGTTGCTGGCACAGATTTTCAACTGCTCTTTTGTAGCAATGAGGACTATAAGCTTGCCTCAAAGAAGGGAAAACTAAAGTCTGAAGCAAGTTGCATGAGGCACCCACAAATTCCCGTTTGCATCCCTTACACGTTCTTATGTCTTACTGCTGTGCTAGTACGTGGGCAGGCCCTATTGTTGGGCAAAGGGATATGCCCATTTCAGTGTCAAATAGAGAATAATTTTAGGATGTCTCTAGAAGTAGCCTGTCATAGCATGTGCTTTTCTTTCCCTTTGTATTTTACATTCCACAAGCTTAGTTTTGCAATTGGTCAAGGGAAGATGAACCTGTCGTTAATTGCTAAGGCACATATGTCTGATCCATGGTGAGTGAGAAGATGTTAATTATAGGAGATATGCATTTTCTTTGTTTAGCTGAACTCTCAGGCAGCTAATTTAGGAAGTCAAGAAGGGGCATAAAATGATTATGTTAATATATGTTGATATACTATTTTTCATTCTCAGAAAGAAGTGTCTGTTTTCTACTAGGTGAGTTCTACTTGGTGAGTTTTCTACCATAGGGATAAAATTTCTTGGCCACCTCAGCTTGGAGAGAATATGCCATTTGTGTTCCTCCTCAAAATGCCCTGGGCCAGTCCTTGATAGAAAAAGTAGCATTGACTTCACCATCATGCAGCCAAATTAGGGCTCTTGTGGCAGTTGGGAGAGCAGAATGTGATCATTACAGATAACGCTTCATCATTCCCTGTCGCTCAGAAAATGATAGTCATTACCTCACCATGGGCATGATGTGCAGCCACAATCCTGGTACCACTTTCTTTTTCCTTCTGTTTTACTGCTGGAAGGTTTTCCATCATAAGAAATGGAACGGCTGCAATTTCTCCATAGCATTGTGAGCATTGAGGCTACAGGAATTGGGGAAAGAAGAGGCAGCTTGGTTATGCTATGGAACACCACCTCCAGCACAAGAATTCTGTGTTTCCCTCTATGGGCCACTGCCAGAACTTGGAAAAGTTAAAAAGTTTTCTAAATAGCCATTCCTAGAATTGTACAGTCAGTGTGGTGAAGTTCATCCCCAGAAGTGATTTTTCCCCAAGTTCTGACAAGTTATCCTCCATTATGCAATTTTATTCCAGCTAAACTCTTCTCTCTGCAACCGCAATTTACTTCCAAGGAGGAAGAGGAGGGGAACAACTTGAGTTGGGATAATGTCACAGGCAAAGTCTTTTTAAAATCTTCTCCCAAGAATTGCCAACGAGAGATGTTATGAAGATTTTCCAAAAATGTGAATATCCAGTATTCAGAATTCCTATGTCGTAGTTAATTTTGCCCTGGTGTAAATCCAGAACTGATTCTGTGGCACTGGCATGAAAGTACTCATACTATATTTTTCCAGATGGAATTTATGCTCAAGTGAAGCCTTGGTTCTGTGAGGTAGAGAGGAATAATGATTCACAAAAGGCAAGTATGATGCATCTGAGGGGCTTCCCTGCAGAATTGGCAACTGAAGCAGAACAAGGTTTTTAGAACGTCTAGACATGGCAGTTTCCCCAATACCTCTCTTGTACCGTATATTAGTTGATGGAGTGCAAAAATCCAAGGAGGAGCTGTTCTGGCTTGCTGATGCAACTCACATCTCCCTGAAGGAGAAGGATGCTTATAAGCTCAGCAAAATTACCAAGGTTAAGAAAACATTCTTGCAGAATATGAGCTGATGAATGATACCATCGGGCAGTGGTGGGGAGGCAGACGCCACTGTGGTCCACAGCTGAGGGAGGGGTAAGATTGCCCCATTGGGCGCTATGGGAGCTGGGAAGGCCAAGAGGAATTTGGAAGCTGAATGGAAATCTTAAAATCTAGGTCAAACGACAAACTGCGTGAATCTTCCCTTTGAGATGCCATTGATAATATTCTAAAAGGCAAGGTTTTTTTTTTAATTAGGTCACTGCTCATCAAAGCACATAACAAAGAGAAAGATGTGCATAAAAATGCAGAGCTGTGCGATCTACTTGGAATGTAAGATCATCCCTTATGGGAAGGCTTTCAAGAACAAGGTACAGGCGGAGGGAGGGGGGGACCATCACTTTCACTTCTGGAAAGTGGAGGAAGAGAACAGCTTCCAGCCACCAATCTCTGCAGCATAGATGTAAAAGGCAGTGGTGAACCCATGAGTGTGTGCATTTGCTTGTGCATGCTTAGCTGGCACACACATTCCTTTCCTTTGCCAACTTTGGAAGCCGGGTGCTCGTCTTCACAGGATTTTTCTTATTGCCAAGAAACAGACGGAATCTTCCATGGATCCTCACTATCAATGTGGTGCTCCTGTGATGTTACAGTATTTCAAAACAACTACTGCGCAGATCATCTGACTGAAGGCCGGCCCTGCCATTAGGTAGAACAAGGCAGGTGTTTCAGGTGACATGCTGGGGGTGGTTGTGGCAGCAAAGTGCAGAATGAGGGAGCTGTGTGTTATGCAGCGTCTCCTGTGACACAAAAAAACCCTGCTGCCTCTGGAGAAGTAGAGGATGATCTCCCACTGCCAGTGTGGAGGGGATACTCAGCTTCCCATTCAGTTCTACATGGAATGAAATGGGATACTCTCTTGCTCTTTGTCTCAGGCAGCATAAGGTCTTGGGCCACCTGGTGATGTGATTATGCTTTCTTTTTCAAATCCTGCCTTAGCAACTTATTGCAAAGGAACTTTAGCAGCTGAAGCTCAGAGCTTGGGAAAGTTATTTTCTTGGACAGCAACTCCCAGAATCTCCCAGCAGAAGTAACATGTACAAGATCTGTTTTGATTACCCATAAGTGCTGAAAGAAGCAAACCAGTAGGCAGTAGATCTGCAAGAAGAGGGTGTTCACTTTGGCTGTGGAGGATCTGTGGATGATTCCACCTCCAGTGCACCATCAAAGATGCCTGGCCATAGCCAGGAATATATGTTTTGCCAACAGAGGTTGGTGGGTGCTGGCCGTGAACCAATTTAGATGTAGAGTGGCCTTATGGCTTGTTTTGGGGATGACAGTCCAACTCTGATTTAAAAGTAATGAACCATAAAAGAGAGTTTCAAATTCAGGGATTGTGGGTTTTCCCATCTGTAGGGAACACCGGGTAGCAGACTCAGCAGGCACAAAAAGGCACCTAATCTGAGTCTCTCCCACTTAAGTGAGGTGCATTGGAGTTCTGTTTAAATTATGGATAATCATTTGAATTTTGCATATGCACACCTCAATTAGCAAATGCAATTTCATGCATAGCATCTTTTTTTCTCCTTTTTGGTGACAACTGCCTGGCCACCCTGTTTGGATGCGGCAGGTTACTAGCTCAGTTAATAGAGATCTGGTTAATATTCACACCGGACAACTACGAGGTGCTTTAAGTGGAACTGCCTTTGGAAAGATTTTGCTAGCTACTGCAGAATACAAAGTATGAGCTGCTGGTGAGGGCTAGGGGGCTGGATTGTGCGTTACGTCCTCTCTGTCGGCTCTATTAACCACATTTCTCAACTCAGTTCAAAGTACTAGTGTTTTTTTTTAAAAAAAAGCCCAAGCAGTTCTTTCAGCCTTCAGTTTTACTTGAAAAACTGCCAGTACTCATACCAATGTCTTTGAGCATTAAAATCTGCTACAGAGACTTCGCTTGCTTTCTTGCTAGAGCTTGGGAAAATGTTTTTGCATTGAAACACTTACTGATGATGCTGACAAGGTATGTGTGTGCCTGGAAGCTAGAAGTTTTTTTTTTTTAAAGATAGTGTTTGTAAATTTTGGGGCTTGGGGACCCTCTTTGCTCCCTAACAAAACTGACCAGCAGAGTGTAGGTAGGCAAAGAACGGTTAAATGGGAGATTTCCCCAGAGAGAGAGACCCTGTTGTGCCCATAAAAAGGACTGGGTGGAGCCAAGGGGAGGGGGGCAGGAGGCAGCTGGTGGGACTGGAGAAAAGCTGTTCTCTTTTCAGCTCTGTCTCTCATTGCTGTTGTCCCTAAGGAAGCCTGCCTCGAGTTTGAGGTGCCCTGCACTCTAGTTGAAAGTGGCTGGTTTTATTTTGAAACCTTGATGCTTTCTGGCCTGCTTTTGGGATGGATGTTTGCCATGAAGGACCCTTGAACGGCTACCCATACAGGGTGACATTAAATGGAACCCAGAGCTGTCTTGTTTGATCATCTAGGCTCAGGTGACATGGTCCTTCTCCTTGCGATCAGTAAGGTGTCTGTCACCTGTCTTTGGCTGTCTGGGAAACGAAGTCACCTTAACTTCTGCGTTTCCACCTCAGAGGCTTTCCTAGATCCTTAGGTATGAATGGGGAGTATATGTGTGTGTGGAAACCAGGCAGAGGTTTGGGTTCTGTTCTGTTTTTTTAAAATAATTTTTTGCTTTGTTGAAGTCCCTCTTCCTGCATTCTGGGTGTATTTCTGCCCCAGATCTCTCTTGGGCTGGTCTTTGTTCTGTTTCTTTCCCCTCTGAGAGAAGATGGGTCTAGCGGAGTAGGTACTGAAGCAAGAAAGAAGAGTTGCAACTGGGCTGGTGGGCTACTGTTGTGGTGAGATCAAAATCAAGGAATGATGTACCGATGTCTCCTCCGGGCCTTGCCTGGAGCCATTCTTCTTCTTGGGAGTGTGCTGCTCCTTTCCTCAAGGCGTTATGGTAACCAGGGGGAGACCCTCACCTACCAAAACCTTTCAGAAGGGCTATTTAGCAGATGGGCACAGCAGAAGATGGCAACGGTGGGCGTGACCAACGATGGCAGTCACACAGAGCCAGAGTCTGAAAAACTCCAGGTCCGTGAAAAGGCTTCTACTGTTGGAACAGGTCAGTTGATTGAAGATCTCTTCATTGCCGTGAAGACAACCCAAAAGTTCCACCAATCTAGGATAAAATTACTGCTGGATACCTGGATGTCCCGAGTGAAAGAACAGGTTGGTATGAATGCAAACGTGAGTACTGATTGAATTATACGATGCCTCTCCTAATAGGACGCCCCCCAATAGGATGGACTACAGCTCCCATTATCCACAGCCACCGAAACCAATGGCTGTGCTAGTTGAGGACAAGACTAGCTGTAGTCTAACGTATCTGGAATGACCTGGATTGATGAACGTTGGACTATAGAAACTGGAGGCTACAATTCTATATGGCATTCCCCACTCCCCAGGTTTTGGATGTATGCAAAAGATTTTATGATGTTTGCATAAGTTGGCATGGGCACTTGCAGTTACATGATGAGGTGCCAGGGCACATCTTGGTTGCATAATTGGGTATGGGACCTGTCACCCGTTAGCCTCAGCTAGTTGCAGCAAGTTGTGCAAAATATATGTTGAAAACAATATGGTTCTGCTATTGTAAGATCACATGTTTGGAGCTCCTTGGATGTTCTGCCCATCCTCATTATGCTGCTCCTGGTCTGTCTTATCCTTTTCTTTTACCCAGGAAAAAGTAACTTTAGTGCTGCTTAGGGAACCTCAAGACAAGCAAAAGTACATCTCATATAGCTCTGAACCAGAGTGTTAATGTGTCGAGGAGGAACACAAAGAAACAATGGTTATGGCTCACCCAACAAGACATATTTTTGCCTGAGGTTTGGCAGCAGATGGTACCCCTCCACTCCAAAGTTATAATATACAGCACTCTGAAGGCAACCAAGTTAATTTGGCAGCTGAGGGAGAAATTCCAATCAGCACATTTCCAACTCTTTGGCAGCTAAGAAAAAGACAGAGACAAGACATTGTGTTTATTGGAATTACTCCCTCAAGAATGCCATATTAATAACAAAGTTTTTTTTCCCATGACATCCAGAATTTGCTGCCTGAGGCAAGTGTCTAAATTCACCTAACAGTAGAGCTGGCCCTGGTGATGTTAGTATCTCTTTCTCATCTCTAAGCTTGAAATTTCTTGGACTTTTCCTCATGTAAAATTGGTAGTTACTCCAAGTGTCATACAGTTCAACCCTCTGCCAATGCAAGAAATCAATAGATAAAGTATCTGTAGAAGATGGCTAACCAACCTCTGTTTAAAAACTTCCAGTGAAGGAGTACCCATCATGTTCTTAGGTAGTCCATCCCACTATCTAACATCTCTTACTGTCAAGAATTAATTCCTAATGTTCAGCTGAATTTGAATCCATTAGTTTGGGTCCTGCCCATGTAGCCACAGAAAACAAGTATTGGAAGGTCTCCCTTCAAATATTGGAAGGTCTCCCATTCTTCTCAGTCTTCTCTTCTGAAAGCAATATATCAGCTCATTCAACCATTCCTCACAAGACTTGGTACTGAGAGCTTTAACCATCTTGACTGCCTTCCTCTGGACGTGTTCTGCCTCATCAATATCCTTTCTAAGGTGTGGTATCCAAAACCAAAGGTGAGGTCTGACCAAAGCAGAATAAAATGGTTCTCGTACTTCCTGTAATCTGGACAGGATGCTATAGTTCTGTTGATGTATCCTTGAACTGCATTAGCTTTTGTTTTTGCTCCATTGTCAACATAGGGCTTGTCAACACTTTTTATTTGGGGCAGGAGGGATCAAGCTACATAAGGTCGCTAGGAGGTCCAGTATGTTATTTGGTGCAATCTTCACATCCAAATGACATATGTACTTAAAGTAATAAACAAACAAACAAACAAACAAATACAGTAACATGTATTATGGTGGCACAGATGTGCTGCACCACTTTAAAAATATAAAAGACAAATGGAAAACTACGTCCTAGAAGGAAGAGGAGACAGGGCAGGGCAAAGAGGTTTTGTGTTTGTTTCTTTGCTTTTCTCTTAAAGTTATGGTCAAGAACTTTTTAAAGCCATTTCAGGATATGACAAATTCAGGAAGGAAGATTTGTTTGGTTTTTTTCCCCAGAAAGTGCCCATGTAGTCCCGCTCACAGGTTAAGTAGAGGTCTGCCAAGAACCCAGATCCTTTTCAGACATGATATTGCCAAGCCAGCTGTCACCAATCCTATATTCATCTGATTATTCTTGCCTAGGTGTAGAACCTTACATTTCCCACTGTTGAGCCTATTTTTTTTAAATTTTGGCCCAGTACAAAATGTGTCACTTTGAACTGTGAATGTAATGTCTTCTGAAGCATTAGCTCCTGCTCTAAGTTTGATGCCATCTTCAAATTTGTTACTCAAGTCATTTTTAAAGATCGCGAATAAGTCTGGAGCCGAGACAGAATCCTGCAGCATCTCTTTTACCCCTTTTCCCCAGGAATAAGAAATAAATGGCGAAGACTCTCTGCCAACCAGCTTCTTCCTACATATATTGGCTACTTATTAGTTATGTCTTTTGGTGATTTGCCCTTCTTTCTATTGCTTATCCATTTAAAAAATCTGTGCTTATTCGAAGGCTCCTCATGCAGCCGTTCCTTTAGGTGCCTCCCGCTTTTCTTTCTGTTAACAATTGTTTGAGATTATGCCTTCAGTATTTTACTCCTAACCACTGGCTGAAATCCTGTTCTCACTGCAATGCCACATTATTTCCCCAAGGTTGCCAAAACTAATGATATCATCAGCCTTAACATGGCATAGCAGTGTGAACAGGACTTCAGCCATTTCTGAATATTTTTGGCCATTGGATCTCACCTAGTGTTTCCTTAAGCTTATTGAATGGACCTCAACTGATGGGAAACCCTGACATCTGAGTGTTCAGCCTGGAGGCAGGCATTGCATCACGGCCTCTCCCAATTTGAAGAGACCCTTGTCCAGCAGGCTGAGGCAAAAAGGCAGTCACGAAAGCAGCACAATCAGGGAGCTGGACAGGGAATAGATTGGATTTGTCTTCAGTGTGGAAGGGGTTGTCACTCTCGAATTGGCCTCCTCAGCCACACTAGACGCTGCTCAAAGTCCTCCATACAGAGCACGGTACCATAGTCTTTCGAGACTGAAGGATGCTTAACTATTGAAATCAGCTTTCTTGACACACAGAGTGCATATCATATATTACCTTCAACACTTCCTTCCTTCACTGAAGAGGGCATGGCCACTTCCAGCCCAGATTTCCATTGTCTTGATCTTGTTGACCAGTCCCTCCCTATTGCTGACAACCAGATTTTGCGATACTTTTATTGTTCTCCTTGTTAGTCAACTTCTCAAACATCATATTGTCAACTAGACAAGTTTTGGATCTTATATTCTTGGGTGAGCAGGATTTCCCACAGGTATAAAGGTAGCTAAAGTCTCCCATCACTACGCTTATTTTTTCTCTTTGAGTGTTTCATTGGGTTCTCTTAGGCTTGTTGTATTCCCAGCAGATGCATTTTGTTCTTCCTATTTTTGATCTTCTTGCTGTCCGCCAGTTTAATGTTCATTATTTTGGAAACAGTAAAGACACAAGACTGTCCATGCTGGATACACACAAAGACCTTGCCACAGCCAGACCTAAGGGAGGCCCACGTGCCTTAGCGACTGTCTGAATGACTTTGCCCTTCTTTCAATGCATAATGCAAGCACAGTGTTTAAGTAGCCTGCAGGCAGCTGGTGGGGAGATTGTTTAAGGCTTGTCTCTCTCTCTTTCAGTCCCCTTGGCTTCTTGAAAGCCCATTTTCCGCTTGACAGGAGCTATTCTTTACTGGACGTGGTTCTCAGTCTGCCCTTGGGATGGGGGGGGGAACATGCCACAATAATGTTGTGAAGAGGGCTTGGGACTGACTTGGGGAAGAGGAGGGCTGGGAGACAGCAGGGTGCTTACAAGTTTTTAACACATCAGCAGATGTTCTTTTCTAAACTCAAGTTTCCTTTCACCACAAAGCTTCTGTTTATTCCACTGTTGGATATCGTAGGGATATCAAATCGGGATTCTCATGTGACAAACCCTTTGTTTCATGACCACTCCTTGAGCTTGTGGGTTATTCAGTGGTGCTGGATCTCGCAGAGTTTTGAATTTCTGGTAAAAATTCATTTTTGCTGAAAAGAAGTATAGAGACCCACAGAGGCGAATAGCTACAAATTCCCCAGAGTTCATTCCTTTCTCATGAACTGGCACTTAAAGTCTTAATAACTCACTCTGAGATATTTGTAGGAGAAAGAATATTTCTTTGCTTTCTTTACTGCACACATATTTAGCAACCAACTGAACTGTTCATCAGCAAACAACTGCCACCAACTGAAGAAAGGGAGGGAAAAGAAACACTCAGCAGAGAGGCAGGACTCTCTTTGAATTCAAAGGCTGGAAAGAATGATTGGATTTGGATAAAGATAAAGAAGATAACTGCTGCAGCACAGAAAAGTCCCGCCCAGTCACAGAAATTGCAGATAGCATGTGAAATTGCATGGTATTTAACACTGGTGAAATCGAGTTGTATGGATAATAAATATTCTGATTTATGTGAGATTGCAAATAAAACCCCAACAGAATAAGACCAGAGCCTTCAGCCCCACACTGGTATTAGCCCACAATGAACTGGGAGAGTCATGTGTATGTGTTCTATAGTAGAGGCCCATGTCTGCACCATGCGTGGTGTCACAGCACCAGGCAGCTTTGTCTAGTTGCCAGAGTTACAGTGCCCTGAGAAGGGCATGATAACTGGTACAGATGCCTATTGTGTCCCACCCACAATCTCTGTGCCAAATGTAGAGCCACTCTGATGCATTGTGGGAAGTTTAAAGTAGGTGCCTACCTCAGTTGCCAGATAAACTCCTACCTGGGGGGCCCATCAATGTAGGAGAGGACCTACAAGAAGCACTTCCCTGGAGACGCTTTGAAACCTTCTTCTACCTGTTTTACATTTGCTGAATTTTTTTGAGCATCCAAGTCTAAAATGTATGGTGTGTGCATGAAACTCTCCCACTACTTCAGGCAAGAAGAGAAGTGGTACCTCTACCCCCTCACTGCTGCTGCTTCCTCTCTCTCATTGCCACCTCCTGCATTTCTTGCCCTTCGGCTTCTTGCTCTGGGATGACTGCTTCCCCTTCTTACTTGATGACAGGCTCTGTGTAGAGGAAAGCCAAGCACATGGCTCTCCACAGAGGCAGTGAGCTAGTTTCTAACTACCAAGCTCCAATGACCTCTTAGACTTAGGCATCGCATATGGGCTGCCTGGGAAAATCATGTGTGCTGTGCTGGGGATCCTCATGGCACATGGGGAGTGGTGAATTCACCACCCATGCCTGTTTGCCACCTGAGGCAGATACCTCCTTTTGCCTAATGACAGGGCTGACACTGTCTGCTACAAACCAGCACCTCTTTAATATCATAATATGCAGATTTATTGGGGAGAAGCTATGACAGTTAAAAAAACAGTGTCTGCCACCTGAGGCAGATGCCTCCTTTTGCCTAATGACAGGGCTGACACTGTCTGCTACAAACCAGCACCTCTTTAATATCATAATATACAGATTTATTGGGGAGAAGCTACGACAGTTAAAAAAAACAGTTTCAGATCAGTTTATACCTGTAGTTTGGAACAAACAAGTCATGAGAAGACCAGATTGTATAACAATATGAGCTAATCTGTTAATGTGCAATGCCCCCTCTCCCCCCCATCTGTGTGTGCAAAGAAACTGGGCCAGATGTTTATTGTCAATAATCAGACAGCATTTTAAAAATATCCAGACTTGTTACAGCCTTTCTTTCATAGCATCCTGCTGAGATGGGGCCTTATATTGTACTGAGGAAAATACTTTTGGAGTGTTCAAAGCACTTCATGTACATTATCTTAGTAACAATAAGCCTTAGATGATGCATACCCAGGGCTAGGGGGATTTGGAGTTCAGCATATTGTTGACATGGGAATAACCCCTCTGTCTTCTTTTTTCCCCTCAGACCCATCTCTTCACAGATAAAGAAGATAATGAACTACAGGAAAAACTGGGTAATCCCACCTTGGAAATTGCAGAACATCTACTCTCTGTCTTTTGTAGGCTGCATATGGGTAACCTTCCTTGGTTAATAGCATCTTTCTGTGTTTGACACTGGTGAAGGGTTGTAGTCCAGCAGAAAAACTGAATGCAGAACATTTCTGGGTCCATCTCTGGCCTCTGCAAGCAAGGCTGTTCAGTAGAGACTGGTGAATCCAATTTCATGAGCCAATGACCCATCCTGGGTTGATCTGATCTTTATAGGAGCAATTCAAGGTGCTGGAATCCATCCCTAAAATACACGGTGCCTTGAGTAGCTAGCTCTTTTAAAGCTTGGGTTAAAGCTCAGGCCAGTTTCACTGCCTCCATGACATAGGAGACTCAGCTGTCATGGGAGCAGTTACAAATGTCATGTACAAAACCTTAGAGAGATGTCACTAGTCAATATAGTTGATGCTGGGCTAGATGGACCACAGTCTGATTTGGAAGAGGGCTGTTTCCTATGTTTGTGACCAAGTACTCAATCAAGGGGGTCAGCATGGATGGGCATCAGCTGAGATCCCACACTCCATCTGGAACCTTCTGATAGGAACGATATGGACCTATTTCCCCTCTTTAGTATTGCAATCAACCTGTTTATTCCTCTCATACTCTTTGTTAGCTATCAAAGAACTGAATAAACAGCCACAGTGATAGTAGTGATGATAGCAGCAGTGATGGATGCCCCTGACGGCCTGTACACTGGCTTTTTGCTTCTTGGGTAAACAGCAACAGTGAGGATGACAAGGCAGAGGAACGGCACCAGAAACAGCAGCAGCTGGTGACAGCAGCAATGAGGGAATAGGCTGAACGATATATGTTTGGGGGTACAGTGAGTGTGTCTTGAATGGTCCTTTTCAGTTTGCCAAACTGAGTAAATTGAGAGATCAGGCCTGTATGTATTGATGCAGTTTTGCTTTCAGAGGGTGTGACTACACTGCAATTTGATTCTTAGCTTGAATTATGTTTGAATCACAATCAGTGCTCACACAGGCGCTGTGGATTGATTTGGGAGCTCACTCTTTATGCTGGATGTGATGTGAGTCACATTCCCACCCATAACCCCTGTTCTTCCTTTCCTTCCTCTGGTCCTGCATCTGCTGATCTTCTTCTGGTTCACGGTGAAGCTGCTTTTTCATTTAAAGCTTTAGACTATTGCATTTCTCAAACCCTTTTCTATGAAAAAATAATATAAAAACGTACTTAACCATTGAGGAATATAGGATATCAAAAGTTTGAACAGTAATTTTGCAAAATACACCATTATTCACACATCGGAATGATTCTGTAACAGGGATCACCACCTTTCCCTTCCCATCCATTACTCTTTCTCCTTCCTTTCAAGTAATGTATGCAGGAATTACCTCCTCTCTTGTCACTTTCATTTTATTGTCTCGATGGACTTTTAAAGTCCATTTTCAGACCTGTCAGTTAAGTAATTAACAGGACTAAGTTTTTGCTTCTAAACAAAAGGGCCTTCCCACACAATGTGAAGCTTACTATATTTGACAGCATTCAGGACTAGCACAAAATCCCCACCTTAAAATCATGGTGCTTTGCTTTTGCATGTCCCCACCCAGGTCCATCATGGCCCAACTGTAAATACCACCAAAACACCACCTACAGATACTGTATGTATGTTGCCGTCTTTATAAGAATGAATCACAAGTAACCACATGGGAAAAGCCCATTTGAATCATTCCAGCTTGAAAAAGTAGAAGCCTCACAGTGGCAGAGAAAAACAGCCACTTTGGGAGCAAAAAAGATCTGGACCAATTTGAATCAGCCTTTGGTCATATGATCAATTAAAAAATACTTTGAATTCACCCATTTTACAAGTGAAGCAAATGCCACAGTATTTGACTATGTTGTTGCATTTAGAGTTCTGTGAATAAGACTTAAAGCAATATCTAGCCAAGGTCTTGGACTTCACGAAGGAGTGTTAATAGCCTGGAACGTTCATGAGATGTTCTTCACTTTCCAGCTGGATACTGGGCTTCACCAGGTGAATTGAGATAATGTTAAGTAGCATCAGAGTCTAATTAGAATGGTGCTGCTTTTGCTCCCCAGGCATATGGTTGCTTTCAGTTGTTGTTGGTTCCCCAGTGGCTTTTCACTTAAAGTGTTATCTTACCTACATAATGTCTTCACATTCACTGTCACTTTCCATATTTATGGAATATGGAAACCTTCCACCTTCTTGTTTTAGTCTTTTCCTGTTTTGTTAGATGCCTGGTGGTTGAATTATTCACAGTTGTAGCATTTCTTTTCAAATGCTGGGCATCTTCCCCCCATCCTGCATTTTCTCCCCCATAGTAGCAGCATCATGGTGTTCTGTTCACTGTGGTCCTTGTATCTTGTTCTGCCTTCTTTTTCTTCTGTACTGCATGCATGGGCTCCAACTGTGTATGCCAGGGCTCTGATTCTATCTTTTAGCTGCCCTAAAAATCTCCAAGCTTCTCTTGAAAGTCAAATCAACTGTCCTTCAACAACCTCTTTTACTTGAGTGTCCTGGATTCAACACATTGTGTGATCCCATATCAATGCTTCTCTGATGATTCCAGAACTTCAGCTGCTTCTTAGCACCTCTAAATCGGTGCAATTTTGTAATACTGTCTTCTGTTGCTTGGCCCTGAGTGAAGAAACTGTATCTTTTTACTGTTTCATTTTTCCCTAACGCTTTAGTGTGTCCGTCAAAACGAGCTGTCAACATAGCCAAGGTATGCTGTGCTTTCTGTAGGCTGACGGTATCATTCATTTCTTTGCCTTCTCCAATCAAATATAAAAATACTTTCATTTTCACAGCTTCCTCTTCAGTTGCCATTGCAACGCCCAGTGTGCATGCAGCGAATAGTTTCCTCTTTCCAGGCTTTCCAAGGCTGGGCTAGGATCAGACTTTGGAGGTTTAATACCTTGCTTATTTCAGCCCCACTTTTATTTTATTTATTTATTTAAAACTTTTATATTCCACCCTATATGGTACAACAATAAAACCATACAGAACTGTTCAATATTTTAAAAGCATTTAGAAACATTAAAACCACCACCAACAAAGAAGCCCTCACAACCTATTAAAATCATGGTCCTTATCCCCAAGGCCTTGGTAAACAGCCATGTTTTAACTTGGTGCCAAAATGAGATTAGTGTTGACGCCAGCCAAGCCTCTAAGGGGAGTTGTTACAATTGAGAAAGTTTTCTGCCTCTCATAGTGGATCACTCTCTTTGTGGGACAAGGAGCACTTCCCACCCCAAATCTTAGATTGGGCAGTTGCCTATTGGGAGAGGTGTTCCCTCAAGTCGCTAGATCCCAAGCTCTTTGGGGATTTGTAGGTTATCACCAATTACAAATTGAATTGCAAATTGCACTCACTGCAGTATCAGTACTGTCTTCATGGGAGAGGTGTTCCCTCAAGTCGCTAGATCTTTGGGGATTTGTAGGTTATCACCAATTACAAATTGAATTGCAAATTGCACTCACTGTAGTATCGGTACCATCTTCAAGGGCAGCCTTATATAAAATGCATCACAGTAGTCTAACCAGGAGGTTACTAGTGCATTAACAATTGTAGCCAGGTTCTCCCTGTCCTGGAATGGTTGCAGCAGATGGCCCAATCAAAGATGGCCCCAGACACTCTGGATCACCTTAGCCTTGAGTAATAAAGAGGGCTCAAGGAATACTGCCAAACTATTTTTTCCCCAATTCCACTCCTTTTTGACTTCGATTCCTTTTTGCTTTTGCCAGATGATAGCCTCTTCTTATCCTTTTGTTTAGGAGCCACCATTCTAGGTGATCTTACGACTGCTTGGTCTTCTGACCCTGCAGCACAGGCTTCTGCGGTTTAGCCCGCAGTGCCACCACGTCCCTCTTGTCTTCAAGGGCAGCCTTATATGAAATGCATCACAGTAGTCTAACCAGGAGGTTACTAGTGCATTAACAATTGTAGCCAGGTTCTCCCTGTCCTGGAATGGTTGCAGCAGATGGCCCAATCAAAGATGGCCCCAGACACTCTGGATCACCTTAGCCTTGAGTAATAAAGAGGGCTCAAGGAATACTGCCAAACTATTTTTTTCCCAATTCCACTCCTTTTTTACTTCAATTCCTTTTTGCTTTTGCCAGATGACAGCCTCTTCTTATCCTTTTGTTTACGAGCCACCATTCTAGGCGCATTTCAAGATGGCAGGCGGGCCCCTTACAGAACCCCACAAGCTCTGCTTTCAAACAAACTTTAAATAAAGAGTTTATCAGAACTTGCTCTTGCAGTGGCTTCTGTCTCCTATGTCTGAAGTAGTAGGCTTTGCTTTCATCCTGTTTCTATTTCCTCCCAGCAATGGCATCCCATTCAGAATGCGTCTTAATACCTCTTTCATATTGTCACAGTCTCTGGTACTAGAGGGAATATATCACCATTGTTACTAGCAGTCGCTGATGGATATCTTATCTCCATGTACTTGCTTATTTGAAGATGGCCTCCTGAGTTTGAAAGGTTAACAAGTGTAAGTTCAGTTTAAAGGTAAAAAAATGTGAGAAGGGAGAGACTGTAAGGACCTGGAAACTGCACAGCAGCTGGTAGCATCTCAATGGGAGGTAGAACGGTCACCTAGTTACAGTCTTCCCTACTATGGACTATTGTATTTCTATTTAAATTTGATTATTTCTTTCTATATTTGCATCTCTCACTAGCTTTGTGCAAATCTGGGTTTCCCTTCATCCTCCTTTTTGGCAATGCAATTTCTTTTCTTCCAGCAATGTGTGCACTGGCTTCCATCTGTGCTGAAACTGTACATATATTTAAAAGCATCAAAGATGCCAGTTGTCTCTGAATGACCTCCTTCCAAAGGAAACTCAAATTTCTTAGGTACATTTTCAGCTTTCGGAACTGTTGGAGAAAATGGGTGGGCAGAAAGAGAACAATACTCTACTGTGCACAGGACTGAAATGTGGTAGTATGTACAGAATTCACCACTTTGGAAAAAAAATCACTGATTTTTATTGTAAAGGGAAAAGCAAGCAAACCTCTAGCCTTCAAGGTCTAAAAGATAAAGTGTGATGAAAATCTGACTGGTGAAATCTCAGAAAGCAGGGTAGAGGCATTAGGAAAAATTTCCAGCGACAAAGAAGCAGGTTTCCACCCTTTGCACAGGAACAAAATATTTGTTTTTTCCTAACAAGGAGCAGAAACAGAATAAATTAAACAACAATCACATGTATGCAAATGGATTTAATCTGAAAGTGCACCGCTTGCAACAGATGGGTTTTGTTCTGTAAAGCCTTTTCAGGAACAGTTAAGGGCTTGGAGGTTTTTATTTTATTTTATTTAGTTTGTTTAATTAATAAATAATCCAACAAAATGTAAACAGGCAGAAAAGATATAAAAGTAAAGTAGAAGTGATAAGATAAGACAGTATTTTCATTATGTTTTAGGAAAGAAAATACAAGGTTTGATCATATCCTAGAACTTGTTATTCCACTACACCGTAAATGACATCCATCTTTCAATAAGTGTATTTAGCTGAATGTGTCTCTGAGTCCTTTTGTAATGCATTAATTACAACATAAGTGTAGTGATTCAGTTTTTATTATGATGACTCCCAAAATGGAGGGAGCTTTGTCCTCACCCTCCATTAGCTCCTGTTTACAGCTTGGCTGCAGAAAGGTTTATTACCAGCCTCAATCCAAATCTGTTTCACTGACAAAGCCCTGAAGGTAACACAGCGATACTATTTTTGGATTTTCAGGTATCAAATAATCAGTAATGTCGTTTATCACAGCTGGTATGTTCTCTAGAAACTCTGAATTAATGAGCAGCCTCTTCCTCAAATATGAAGGCATGTATTAAACAAAGAAGGAATATAGCTCCCATCTGTGTGTTATGAAATACCACACTGAGTTAATTTTTTTAATTGGCAGACTACAATCTCTGGAACACATTTTTTTTAAAAAAATGCATCAATAATACATTGCTTTTATTCCTTCCTGCAGGAGTTCTATCCTTACTCCTTCTAGACTGTGCTTCTGTTGAGAGCATATCTCATTTTCCCCAGTGCTCAGAATCTCAGCATCTCCTTGCAGAGAAAATGAAATCCTTCTCTTGGCTAGTGCTATCACTGCTAATATAATTACTGTGTATAAAGTAATTGGGCAAGTGTCATCAGAAGCATCCTATATCTCGTGTGCCTGGAAGGAGAATGATGATCAACATCGCAAACTGTTCATTATTGGACCTCTTTAAACTTTGCTAGGTGGATACTCCCCCACTTGTTTTTGATATCAAATTTTTACTGAGTGCTCAATAGCATTACAAAAATACTCTTTTGCATATTACATAAAGATGGAGCTATACTTCTGAACTATTTCTTTCACTTTCCTCTGTGCTTCCTATCTTCTTGTGGGAAGAGAGAGGGGAAGGGATGAAGTTACTATAGCTTCTGTTTAAGTACAGTATGTTTATCCAATACCAAGGAGCTGCCTTAATTAAGGATGGCTGCTCACCCAATGCCAAGACAGAGGACAAAACAGGGCACAGCTTGGGATAAAATGCTACATTATATGAAGAGAGGCACATTTAGGAAAACTTTTTGTTGTTTTTTAGTCGTTAAGTCATGTCAGACTCTTCGTGACCACATGGACCAGAGCATGTCAGGCCCTCCTGTCTTCCACTGCCTCCCGGAGTTGGGTCAAATTCATGTTAGTAGTTTGGGTGAGAATGTCCAAACATCTCATCCTCTGTTGTCCCCTTCTCCTCTTGCCCTTACACTTTTCCAACATCACGTTTTTTTCCAGGGAGTCTTCTCTTTTCATGAGATGGCCAAAGGATTGGAGCCTCAGCTTCAGGCTCTGTCCTTTCAGTGAGCACTCAGGGTTGATTTCCTTTAGAATGGATAGGTTTGTTCTCCTTGCAGTCCAGGGGACTCTCAAGAGTCTCCTCAAGCACTACAATTCAAAAGCATCAATTCTTCGGCGGTCAGCCTTCTTTATGGTCCAGCTCTCACTTCTCAAGAAGCAGGCGTCTTTTAATTTTGTGGCTGCTGTCGCCATCTGCAGTGATCATGGAGTCCAAGAAAGTGAAATCTGTCACTGCCTCCATATCTTTCCCTTCTATTTGGCAGGAGATGATGGGACCAGTGGCCATGATCTTAGTTTTTTAATGTTGAGCTTCAGACCATTTTTTGCACTCTCCTCTTTCACCCTCATTAAGAGGTTCTTTGAAGATAGGAGAGCCTGGCATGCTCTGGTCCACAGGGTCACAAAGAGTAAGACACAACCACTAAACAACAAAAAAGATTCTTTAATTATTCTGTCTTAAAGGGAAATACATGTTTCTGTGTTAGGGAAATCTATCAGAGAAACTGTGTGCGTATACAGTCTGTTATTCAAATATTAGTGGCTGATGGTTAATATCAAGGTCCTTGCTTTCACTTCTCAATGTGGTTCTTTATCCTTAAACTGGGCTTGGACTGAGACAGAGTCCAGACAGAGTAAGTCTTCAAATAAAGGGCTTGTTGGTTGTAATGTAGGACATGTGCCGGCTTAAAACTGCTCTACACAACGGAGTCTTAGCTCCCAGACAATATGATGGCAGGGCCCAGCTGTGTAAACCACTGCAACAGTGCTTCTTGTTTAATCTGGGCGCTAAATACTCAGCTATAGTTCTATTATTTAAAAACATCATGGGTTTAATCGTTGTTGTGGGTTTTTCGGACTCTTTGGCCATGTTCTGAAGGGTTTCCTCTCATATGTTAATTAGTATTTTTATTTTTATATCCCATCTTTCCAACTGAGCACTCAAAGCAAGATGCATGGCTCCCTCCCTCCACTTCTATTTAATTCTCACAGAAACTCTGTGAGGTAAACTAGGTCGAGAGCAGAGTCTGAAGAAGTTACTTTACTACAACTCCCAGAACCCCCACAAAGCTAGGCCACTGCCAATTTGACTGGGGGATTCTAGGAGATGTCATTTTAAAGAAAAGAAAAACCAAAAACATCAACCTTCCCAAGCTTTGGTTGAGAGAGGCTGGCTCAAGGCCACCCAATGATCTCCATGCCTAAATGGGGTTATAATCACCTCCTTCACACCAGTTGTAGTTGCTGCTTGACATTACACTGTCAAAATGATTTTGGATTTCATCGAGTGGTCAGTGGGGAAAATCAGGGCTCATCCACATCCATGTGTATGCCTCAGATTGATGTGGGTTTGAACTGGGGTCCTTTCCCCCCAGTGATCCAGAATCACTCACTCTGAGGTTCCATAACAGCTTTCTTTGTAATCCAGATTCTTCCAAGTTGATTTTCCATTTCATAATGTGCCCTCTCACTTCCTCCTCCCACTACTCCCTTCTTTCCCTCTCATGCCCTCATCATCCTTTGCCCGTCTCTGCTCCTTGGAAGGGACATGCATAAGCCCTTCCATTTTATGTATCCCTGAGCTGTGGATAACGGGGAATCCCTTCCAGAACTCAAAGCAAAGGAAGTATAAGGAAAGTTACAGGAAACCACCTCCCTCATAAGAAATATCTGTGCATAGTGTACAAGAAGTGGCACAGGCATATGTTACTGCTCTCCTTATCCCAGAACACCACCAGGCAGAAGGAAAAAGCAGAAGTTGTTATATGCTGCCAAGGCAGCTCTGACCTGTGGTGATTTTATGAATTATTACTGTCCAAAGCATCTTACAATTAACATATGTATTCAGGTCTTGCAAACTAAAGGTGTGTTAGGGGGATAGTGAGGGTGGGTGGTAACCATGGTTGCAATCCTTATCCAAGATGGCTCTAGTGTTTGTGTGTGTGTGGGGGGCTGCCTTTTACCCCAGTGGCTTGCCCTCTTATTTTCTTTGAGAAAGAACACAGAGGCATCTTCTTGGGCAGCAGAAGGGAGTGGGGGCGGGGGCTGTTGGTAGTCTGTCAGGAAGGAAAGAGCTCCATGGCAGTGGCCAGCCACTGGAAAGGAGCCTAAGATGCTACCTGCAGGGTGAGGTGTGGGTAGCTGAGACTCTGGGAAGATGAGGGTATCCTGTATGTGTGCTCACAGGGTGGTGGCAACTGGGGAAATTCATCCCCTCGTTCATGTGGTGGAGCAGCCTTCTCCTTTCTGGGTGAGAAGAGTGTTCACAAGCTGCTTGCCCAAGTGCTTCAGCCCGTCCCATCCCTTATGCTCTCTCACTCCTTGCTCCCTACTCCCAGCCTTGCTGGAGCCTCCCAAGAATTTTGAGTTGCTTCCAGTCAGAAAGACAGGTATAAAGCAGGGAGCTGAGAGGCAGTTGTGCTGGGAAAGAGCCCCCTCCAAGTCAGCCGTTCTTATTCTGCCCTATAAGAACTGGGCTTGCTTGGGACAAAGGAACAAGTAGGGCTGGCACATCCCGGAAGGAAGGAAGGAAGGAACAAAGGAAGGCAGGCATAGTCTGGAAGTAGAAGGGATTAATTTGAATCTCCAGTAGATCTGTAAAATAAACTCAAATCAATGGGTGATTGAGGAACTACCTCATAACAGGAACCAACAGGATGTGTGGATGAGGCCTCAATGTTTTTCCTTCCTATGTTTCATTGAGAGAGTTGGTTAAGGTTGTTTTGAATATATTAGATCATCCCAACATGCTGATCTAGAGCTTTTCTTCTTTTCTTATTAGGTGATCATGTCATATTCACCCACTGCTCTGCAGAGTACAGCCATCCAGCACTTTCTTGCAAAATGGCGGCTGAGTTCGATGCATTTTTAGCTAGTGGCCGAAGGTAAGCAAACACACTGGAATTGGGCAGTGTAGCCAGGGAGTCAATCTTCGACTAAGGTTTGTGGGGGCTTGTGAGTTATTTATTGATGTATTAATGTTGTCAGTAAATATGGATTCTTCCTTCATAGTTGGCTTCTCATGCATTAATTGTCCAACGTTTAACATTCAAGCTGTTGTTTGCTTTTGCATAATGTCTTGGGAGGGAACCACTAACTGGGGCTGTCTGGGGTCATTGAGTAAATGTAGACAATGCTTAACATAAACAGCTGGGGGAGTCAACTCCCCCTGTCAACATGGACAACAGAGCAATTTTCAGTTATTTCGAAGTGGTGCATTCACAATGTGAATGTCAAGGTTAGTTTTCTGGAAAACCATGTGATTCTCCTGCTTTTGCATTCAAAGAATATATGGAGCTAATTCAGACTCTAGTCATGCAGGTGGGTGACTGAAGACATAAGCCTGTTTCCACATATAGTGTTTCTGAGACGAATGGGGCTCCCTCTCCTTCCCCCTTCTCTTTTGTAATTAACTAAAGCAAAATGAGACATTTACGGTAGCTCTGTGCTGAGATCTGGTGTAATATAGCTAACAGAGTGACAAGACAAGAACTCAGGAGACCCCGCATGGCATGGAAACCCATGTGTAGGTGTTGGCTATGTTAAATTTCTCCTTGAATTCTTATGTATCTTGAAAAACTCACATGATTGCTGCCATAATTCAGATGTGACGTGATGATGAATAATGCAATGAAGCTCTATGTTATGTTCCCTGTTTCCCTGAAAATAAGACCTAACCTAAAAATAAGACCTAGTATGATTTTTCAGGATGCTCGTAATAGAAGCCGTACCAAAAAATGAGCCCTAGTTAAGTGAAACCCCACCCTCCACCATTGTGCAGCTACCAGAAGAAGATGACATGACTGTAAAATAAAATATCCCCTGAAAATAAGCCCTAATGCATTTTTTGGACCAAAACTTAATATAAGACCCTGTCTTATTTTTGGGGAAACATAGTATTTGCAGAATTTCATTTTGGCTCTTGGTAAGAGACGTGCAGTTCTAGAAAACATGGATGAAGTAGGGTCTAGAATTGGTAGCATGGATACCAAGGATTATTTAACAATAAGCAATAACCTTCCATAGGTAAACAAGCTGAAACTGTATTCTACTGTTTCATAGGCCAATCATGCATCTCTTTCTATTCTTCTCCAGCTGGTTTTGTCACCTAGATGATGATAATTATCTTAACCCACAAGCTCTGTTGAAGCTCTTGTCTTCGTATTCTCCAGAAGATGACGTTTATATTGGGAAACCCAGCTTGAATAGGCCAATTCATACCTCAGAATCCTTGCCTAACAACCAGACGGTATGTTCTACCCTTTACTTCAGAGGTGCGCATCGTCTGGCATTTGGGCTCCATGTGGCCCCCAAAACCGATTTTTGTGACCCCTTCAGGACCTTCCCCCTCTTTGTGTGTGTCTAAATATATGTGTGTGGATATATGCAAATAATTTAAAACCAAAATAAAGATTTGAAACTATATTTGACAGCTCAAGTAGTTCAAATGAGTTGGAATGGGCGACTTCTCTATAAAGCTGCAGAAAATTGGCAGCACAGCTTCCTAACTGTGTTTTTATGTTTTTTTTCCAACTTGTTTGAACTTATTGAGTGGTCAAATATTGTTTCAAATCTTTATTTTGGTTTAAAATGGTACTTCTTTACCTTGAGTGCCTTAATTTATTAAGGAAGTCTTTACTCAAAGTAGTTACTTTCTGGTTCCAGATAGCTAATTAACCCAGAAGGAAGCCAGTAAGTATTTGCTCTGAATAAAAATTTACTCATGCATTTAGGGTAAGGAGCTACAATTTTAAACTAAAATGAAAATGGTAATCAGTGCTGAACCACTACAAATGTTACAAGAAATGGAAATAAAAATAAAATAGTTACATTGATGCCTGGAAAATGGTTTGGATCCTGTGCCATCATTTTTCAGTGACGGATCACACCACACATTCTTGGTGGCCTTTTTTTGAGTATGGAGGGACTATTGGTCTAATTGGAATTTGGCCCTTGGCCTGATGGAGATTGCCCACCCCTGCTTTCCCTGGCCACAACAAAGTATTTTGAAAAAATCTGGTTTGATGTTTCCCATTTTCTCAGACAATAAAAAGAGAATTCATACTAGGTTGACCTCAGGGGCAAATGTTGTGATCTAAACATAGGAGGGCACAAAATATTCAGTCTCTTCTCTGTTCCTCTTTTAGCTTGTTCGGGAAAGGATAATAGCTCAGCACTAGAGCACAGGCTTTGCATGCAAGGTGCCAGATTCAGTCTTTAGCATCTTGAGGGTAAAAAGCCAGGTAGCCAGTGACATGAACGATTTTTCCATGGCTGAGATTATAGATAGATGTGGCTGGTAGAGCAGAGCAGAGGTTTCTAGCCTCCACATAGGTACATCTGAAATTTTGTGATATCTGTTACCACAAAATGGCTGCCATGATATCACCAGTGTAACTGGTTTTCCAAAACAAGGAAGCATTTTGGCATTGATGAGCTAAATTGAATCTGTAGCAGGGTGATCAGACTCCCAAGGGAATGAAATGATCTGGATTTGTACAGAAGACAGTATTGGCAGATAAATCTCTCCTCAACATGTTTGACATTGGTGAAGGTCTTGGAAAGCAAGTCTGTGGAGATATGGAAGATGGGTGTGTTTAACCTGGAGAGGAGATGACTGAGAGTTGATATGATGATCAGTTTCAAGTGTTTGAACAACTATCATGCAGCATGAAGGGAGGTGAAACTTGTTTCATGCTGCTCTAGAGCAGTGGTTCTCAGACTTGGCTCCCCAAATGTTCTTGGACTGCAGTTCCCAGAATCCTTCACCACTTGCTGTGGTGGCACGATTTCTGTGAGTTGCAGTCCAAGAACATCTGGGTACCCAAATTTGAGAACCATTGCTCTAGAGGGCGGGATCCAAAACAACCATTTGAACTCAGTGAAAGGAGGTGATGATTAGATTTTGGAAAAAACTTCTTGATGGTAAGAGCTGCTCAAGGGTGACACAGGCTGCCTTGGAGGATGGTGTATTCTATGGTGTACTCTCTCCTGAAGGTTTTTAAACAGAGTCTATGTGTCCATGGTGTTTCCTACATCAGAACACAATTGACCTTCCACCTTTAAAATGCTATGGTTCTATGTTTTCCTCTCATAACTGGTCCATTACTTTATTAATTGTAGGTCTTAACACAAATTCTACATTTTTTCTCCCTTCAGAAATCAGTCTATTTTTGGTTTGCCACTGGAGGTGCTGGATTCTGTATTAGCAGGAAGCTGGCCACGAAAATGGCTCCATGGGCAAGGTGAGTAAATAAGTTGGTAAGTTTTATATCTTGTCTGGTAACTAGGAATATCTGAATACCTTTGAGGGCTGGTTCCACATTTTCATGCACTGGCACAGTTTTGGCCAATGTGTCTGTGTATCCACTATATCTCAGGGAGTACTTTTGTATGTGCCCTCTGTTGAAGTCTGAAAGTAGATGCTTTCCTCAATTCATGTCTTCCGAAATGTGTTGAGTTACAACTCTCCTCATCCGTAGCCAGCATGGCCGCTTGAAACAATGCAAATTGTCATTCTGCACATCTGGAGGCATTGGATCATGGCAAGCTGATATAGGAGATGCCTACTCAAGGATCTTATTTTTATTTATGGTATCTATTTTGATTTAGTTGTCAATTGCATGGAGTAATTATGACTATTATTACTACAACAAACCAACAGACAAAATGCACAAATACTTAGAGGAACCTTTCTTTCCACTGGTGCTCCAATGATCAGAGTAATGTGAGGTTAGCCCTCCTTCCTTGCCCTTGCATTCTGTAATATTTCAGAGACTGGTCTAGGTTTCTTATAGTACAGTCTGGTGCATATCAACTGACAGATTGTGCCATTGACTTCAGTAGGCTTTACTCCTGAACAAGTGAGAATTCCAATGAGATTACACAGCTGTACAATACACTGAGCAGCTTTTGGATAGTTTTTAATATTCATACACTAGATAATGTATCTGTCCAAGACACAAATACATAAAAGCCAGCATGCTATTGCTAGTCCCGACTAGACTAGACCTATTGATCCAATACATATGTGTTGATTTTGTTGTTGCTGTTGTTAAGTCGTTAGGTCATATCCGACTCTTCATGACCCCATGGACCAGAGCACGCCAGGACCTCCTTTCTTCCACTGTCTCCCGGAGTTGGGTCAAATTCATGTTGGTAGTTTTGGTGACAGTGTCCAACCATCTCGTCCTCTGTTGTCCCCTTCTCCTCTTGCCCTTACACTTTTCCAACATCAGGGTCTTTTCCAGGGAGTCTTCTCTACTCATGAAATGGCCGAAGTATTGGAGCCTCAGCTTCAGGATCTGTCCTTCCAGTGAGCACTCAGGGTTGATTTCCTTTGAAATGGATAGGTTTGTTCTCCTTGAAGTCCAGGGGACTCTCAAGTGTCTCCTCCAGCACCACAATTCAAAAGCATCAATTCTTCGGTGGTCAGCTTTCTTTATGGTCCACCTCTCACTGCCATACAACACTACTGGAAAAACCATAGCTTTGACTATGCGGACTTTTGACTGCAAGGTGATGTCTCTGCTTTTTAAGATGCTGTCGAGGTTTGTCATCACTTTCTTCCCAAGAAGCAGGTGTCTTTTGATTTTGTGGCTGCTGTCACTATCTGCAGTGATCATAGAGCCCAAGAACGTAAAATCTGTCACTGCCTCCATATCTTCCCCTTCTATTTGTCAGGAGGTGATGGGACCAGTGGCCATAATCTTAGTTTTGATTTACCATTCAGCAATTGATTCAGTGAATCTACTGTTAAGATTTGACTATGCTAGAAAGCCAGCTTTCTCCAGGCTTTGCTGCAATTTGACTTGCAGCCTGTATTATGTTTGAAATTGCAATCACAGCTCACACAGGGGCTGCAGATTGATTTGGGTGTTCGCTGTTCATACTCATTGCGACTGGAGTAGCATTCCACACTACTGACCCTCTCATTTCCTTCCTTTTTCTGGTCCCGTCTCTGCTGATCTGAGAGGGAGCAGATGAGGGGGTAAGTACTAATAACAGTGACCCAGCAATAACAATAATAACAACGACCAGCAATAAGGTGATCGGGTGATCTGGTGCTAATATCATAGACGTGTTAAATTCTTCTAAAAATTGGAGGGTGATTGGGAGAGGAAATAATGCAGGGACATGTTTCCCTGGTCTGAAAATCACACTCCAACTGATTGCATCATCAAAATATTGCCTACAGACACCCCCCCTCCATCTTTACAAGAACATATCATATATCATATTCCCACATGGGAAAAAGCCTATTCCAGCTTGAACAAATAGTACCCCTGCCAGCAGCAGACTAAAAATGCTATTTTGAAAGCTGAAAGGGCTGGTCTGATTGAAATCACCCTTTATATCATGTGGTCAGTGAAAAAAATACTTTGAATTTACCTGTTTTATAAGCAGATCAAATCCTATGGTATTTGACCATATACAGTAGTTGCAGCCTTAGTTGGAACTAGAAGTAGCATACTGGTGAAGATAATGGCACCAACATTTCTAGCTGTATGTCTCTCTGTTTCCTCTTCAGTCACTGGAGGAAAATGTTACAGCAAGAATAACATGTTTTGAGCAAGGAGGAAAGTAGATCTTTGAAAGCAAGAGTAGAAAAACTCAGTGGAAAGTGAGTATGCATAAAGTTTGGTTGCAAGGACAATGGCCAACTTTTGCAAAATACATGCCCTTAACTAGGGAAGCAATCCTTTGTTATAGAACAGGAATGGTGTTAATGTAGCCTGCAGGCCCCTTTTGCAGCCTTCAAGTCCCCTGTGTGTCCCCTGCCAAACAAACAAGCAAGCAAGCAAGCAAGCAAGCAAGCAAGCAAGCAAGCAAGCAAGCAAGCAAGCAAACAAACAAACAAACAAAAAAAAACTAGGCTGTTTTGTCCTCAGAAATTTCCAGGGAGTGTAACTAGCTGTTTCAGGGCCCCCAGACTTGGTTTTGGCTGGAACCAAGCTTTCTTTTTTCATAGCTTGCTTTCAAAAATGGGGCAGGTGTGGCCACTGGATTTCAAGGGTGAATAAAAATTGGGAAGTTGAGGACCCCCACCCTTCAGCAACCGCCCACTTTGATGTACAATGAATTCAGGAATATTACGAGGGCGGCTCTCCACCATTTTTGGATATTTTTAAAAGTATTGTGATTTTTAAATTTTTCTTCCTGCGAAATCTTATAGATATCTGCTCAGGTATGTGATCAGAGGATTATAGGCAAAGAAGTTTTAGATTATTTCTATGATACACTTTCATTGCTCATATTTGTTGCAGAGCTTTGAATATCTGGTAAAATTCCTTTTGGCTACACAGTAGAAGTACAGATACACGGAGGAGAACAGCTGCAAGTTCCCAGAGTTTCCTTCTTTCTCATAAATTGGCAGTTAAAGTCTCAATAATAGAGATTGGGACGAATCGCCATTTTGGTGAGTCATCGTGCTTTGTGATGCATCAAAGTTGACAAAGCACAAAGCATGAATATCCTCCCCATGAACTGACGAAGCACGAATATATTAGTCAGTTGGGTGGGGGGGTTAGACAACTGGAGGCTGTTTTGTTAAAAAAGCTGACCCCTCCATCCCCACAGCCTGCCCCCCTGCCTCCTTCCCACTACCCCACTACTATCCATGGAGGCTTGTGCCACGACTCCCTACCTTGGCTGCCACAGTCTGCACCATCGCTGCCATCATCCATGGAGGCTTGTGCCACGGCAGCCTCTGCATTCACCACCTGGCACCCCTTGCTGCGATGGCCTCTCCCGTTATGGCCTGCCTTAAGGGAATCTAGGCTGCCCTTTGCAAAGATGGTGGCTGCAGCTTCCCTGCCTAAGAGAAGCTGCAGCAGTCTTCTCCGCAAAGGGCAGCCTGGATTCCCTTAAGGCAGGCTAAGGGAATCCGGACTGCCCTTTGCAACGATGGTGGCTGCAAATTCCCTGCCTTAAAAGCCAGTGTCCCTTACGGCAGTCAATGGCTGCAGAGGCCACCGCAGTGGGTGGTGATGGATGGCAGTGGCAGCGGGCGGCAGTGGATGACGGTGATGCTGAGTGGTGGTGGATGCCAGCAACAACTAAGGGAGGGGAAGTGGGCAGGGGATAGGTTGTGGGGGTGGGTGGCTGTTGGGTGGGCTGGCTGCCTATCGGCCAGCCAATCAGCTGATCAGTGGGCCCACAGGCAGAATGAATTTATTTATTATGATCAGATGACTAGCTCACACAGGCAGAATGCAAAAGCTATAGGCCCATAGGCTAGCCTTCCCTCTCTTTGTATGGGGGGATGAATAAAAATGGGGAAATATTTGTCCCTTTGTATTTGTCAGGGTCTCCGGAACTGACAAATATGAAGGGATTAATATTTAACAAATCAGCAATTTTTCATGGATATCACGATCCATTGTTTTATTTGTTCCCATGTCTACTCAGTAACTCACTCTGAAACATTTGTGGGAGAGTAAAATATATATATTTACTTACAGATCCTTGAAATTACAGACGTGTTTATGCTGCTTCCTTTACTGCAAATATATTTAGCAACCAATTGAACAAATCAACAGCAAACAATCAACTGCCTCCAACTGAGGAAAGAGAAGGAAAGAAGTACTTAGCAGAGACTTGGAACTCTTTTTGAATTCAAAGGCTGAGAAGGAATGATTGGTTAGTGTTAGCCAGACAGACAATCACTCTAGGCCAGAAACATCCCTCCCAGTCACTCAAACCACAGATAGCACAAGCGGATGCAAATAAACTCCAACAATATTTTGATATATTTTGCTTCATATAGTATAAGGTATTTTAATGAGATGAAAATAGAGAAAGTTCCAAAGAGATGAGCCAAAGACAAATTTAAAAAGCTGTTTCAATAAATGAAAAAATATTTCTACAATAACAAAACCAAAACATATGGTTGAACATTATCATTAGAATGTTCATTCCAGTCATGAACGAACAGTGCCCAGTGTTCTACAAAGTTATTATCTAACTGGCTTTCTGCCCAAACCCTTATATAATCTGTCAGTTTAGTCATTTTGGCTGTTTGCCAAATCTTTTTTCCACACAGCCGTTAATCATGGGATTTTGGAACTGTCGCCTTGTCCTGATTAGTTGCCAAATTAATCCAAGGTGCACATTAAAAATCACTAATAAACTAAGATTGCGTGTCATAATATTCCCATATATTATATTCCATTTAATATATATTTCTGATTGTGTACATTTTTGTTTGTATGTATGTTACATAGAAGGCCTGCTTGAGTGGCCAGTAGCATTTAGTAATCTGCTTTTACTGATGTGAAAATCAGTCAGTTTCATTTTCTTTGCATTTCTAAGAATCCCATCAACATTCTCCCCATCCCATCAGAGCACAAAAATCCTTGTGCATTTTGGTGTTCATGTTTCCTAATATATCCATATTTTAGGGATTTGCAACACAGACTAAAGTGTTACTATCTGGAGTTGTGGTGTGTTAGTTTGTGCAAGCATTTCAACAAAAAAGACAAACCAAAAGAAAAACAAAAACATATTGTGGTGCTTTGAAGATTAATTGCTGTATTTTAATGCAAATGTTTGTGGAATATTGTCCACTTCTTTGAGTAGAATACAGAGACTACATGACAAAGCATACACTAAGACACGGTGGTGTTTGGTTGCATTTCACACCCTGTAATGATTTATGACCTCTGTTTGGTATTCAGTTCTTTTGAAGCTACAGGTTCTGTAAACAACAACATGATTAAAGGAAACAGAAGAACAACAACATGTGGTAATTTAAACAATGGCAGAATTTATCTTTGAGCCTTGTTCTGGAAAGATGGGTCTGGTTGTTTGTGAAAGAAAACATCAGTATCAGATAACAGCATAATTATTATATCTGGTGATGACTTAAAAAACTTTAAAATTTAATCCATTGATATGGATATCTAGCATGTGTATATATTTTATTTCAGCTGTTTCCCCCTGGATTCTTGTACAGTAGTTTTTCTTCTCCAGAGTAGCAACTTTCATATCTTGTGAAGAGTACCCCACTACAGTAGTTTTTCTTCTCCAGAGTAGCAAATTTCATATCTTGTGAAGAGTGCCCCAGTAGAGTGAAATGATTTGAGCCAGGTTTCTGTGTACTGTATTGCAATTTCTCCTGTCTGATTTATGTCCATTAATTATTTTACATAGAGATTGTCCTATTTATCCTATGCAGAGTGCAGAGGGGCACTGTTGGCAAAAGAGGAATGATTTTTTTTTATGATGAAACAAATCTCACACTTTTGTTACAGTTTTTATTAAAACTATGGTGATGAGCTGGTAGTTTGGAAGGGATTTCGGGGGCCAGCCTTCCTGGGGGAGTTTGGCCTGGGCTCCCTCGGCCTTGCAGGACTGGGCCCTTGCTGCCTCTGGCTTGGAGGGGAGAAGGGGCCTTAGAAGGGTTGTTGTTGTTGTTATACAGCAGACCAGGGGTTGGGGACCCCTGCCTTACTGTATTATGTAAAGACACCAGCTTCACCTGCCCCCTCCCATCATTGGAGCCCCACAGATCCTCCCAAATCATTAAATCTTTACATTAGATATAACAGAAATTCACTCTCCCATTAGTAACTTGAGAATAATGACCCTCGAACAACCTATCCAACAACCTGTTTCCAGCTGGCTGGGTAGCTGAGTTGTTCAGGTATTTGGCTGCAGAGACAGAGGTTGGCAGGCCCCCCACTGTGCCTGCTAGGGAAAAAGCCAGTAGCCATGGGCAAGCTGCACAGTCTCAGGATGCCCCAAGAAGAAGGGAATGGTAACCCCTTTTGTGTATTCTTTACCTAGAAAACCCTGGAGTCGCAATTGAGTTTATGGCACGACATTATTATTAGCTGTTTCCAGGTATTTTAATAACATAAACCTTCCAGGGAATTCCGGTAAGTGAAAGCACTTTGGATTCAAAAGAGGAAACATCCTAGTAGGAATGATTAGGGTTGCATCATTGATCTTGTAGAAAAAGTGTTGTCCAGCTTATTTTTTTAAAATCTCTGGTAAGATCAAGGTATTTTTAAAATTGTTGTTGTCCTGTAAGTATTTTTAAATGAATACTGTATTCATTTTTTTAGAACAAATGATCAATTCTCATGTTTTGCTAATATTTCGATGTTTATTTTTTAAAAATCCAATACTTAATACAGTAAATGGTGTTCATTTACTCCCTAAGGTGTCAATCTTAACCTCAATTATTAGGATGTAACCACAATAAGACAGAGAGGGTCTTACTTGAGTGTAAAAAGTATAGAATAGTGATGCACATTTGATAAAGCACATGTCTGAGTTCTTCCCTGGAGTTTGTCAAACTGCCCATCTTTACAGTTTTGAGGCTTATAAAAAGTCATTGTATAAAGAAGTCTACCCAGTTTAGCATCCTCAAGATATTCTAGATTATATTGCCTGTTATCCATGTTCAGCATAACTAGTGGTCAGGGATGTTGGGAAATATAGTTCAAAACATCTGTAGGGGTTCCATAAGAGCCGTGAAATGGTTTCTTCTAAGGAAGAATAAATCAAGTACAGTACTTGATTTGTGGTTGATTGTCCATAAAGACTATTAAAACAACATAGAAAAGCTTTAAAAGCCTCTCTAGAAGATTCAGCTAATCAAGTGGATATCTTAATGCCCCCCAATTATCTTCCTTTTTTGCAATAGACTATTTTATTTCATAGTCCCAATTAGAATACAATCAGTCAACTTGATTGGAACCCACTAAGTCCACATAGTTCAGTAAGTTTACTTGATTCAAGGGGTGTACTGTGCTTAGGACTAACAACCAGATTTTGGCCAATACATTTTTTATGGACAAGTGTGATATAATAATCAATCAGTTTAAAAATATTGCTTTAGACCACCCCATGCCCAACGTAGTACATGCCAGAAATGCTGGACTGCAGTTGCCATTAATCGTAGAATGCAATCCTGTATCTACTTCTGTGGGAGATAGCCTAATGAAGCTCGGCGAGGGTTATTTCTGAATACCCGTGTGTGAACATGATTAGACCATAACATTGCTACAAATAAGAGAATTTGGATTTCTGTCATAGCTAGCATTCTGATGTTTTCCTTTGCCTTGCCTTGCTTATCATTAAAAACCTCACTTTAAAATTTTTTAGTTTGCTCTAACAATGATATTATTCATCCCTGATATTTAGAAGTGTCTAACACAGGCATGTCTAGGTTTTTCATGTGCCCAGTTCCTGTTCTTCCCTTTTTTCAATATGGGGTTTTTGCAGAAATTTGAAGTAGGAAATCAGCAGCTTCGCTACCCTTTTTGAAGTCTTAAACTGAATAATGAAGTCATTAATTTTCATGCTACGCAGGAAGTAGGCCAGGAAAAGGAAGCTGCCTGTTGAAAAGCTTATTAGCACATGCCTCTCTCTCGCTTAGAGAAAGAGTATTGATTCAGAAGATGGGGCGATTTATAGGCAAACAAGGGTTCAAAGGAAACAGGGTAAATTTTTTCAGTTTCCATTTGAGGAGCAAAAGGCAGCTGAGTCTTGGGAGGCTGAGCCACTGACTCGATACAGGTTCCTCAAATATTCCCTCTGGATAACACATGAAACAAGAGCCAATGAACCATAGTAGAATGGATAGAGTGTTGGACTAGGACTCAGGAAACCTGGGTTCAACTCCCTGGTCAGCATCGGAAACCCATGTGGGGTGGCACTGGTAAAACCACCCCTTAAATGTATCACTTACTTACTAGTATTGCCATAAGTCTGAATTGACTTGACAACTTTAAACAAGCCATAAATGAAGATATAGACACAGCTTCTCTCACTCTTTTATTCCTTATAGTCCTGCTGTGTGCCTGCTGTAATTAGATGGGTTCCACATGACAACTTTTCATGTCTTGCACAGATTGTAACATGGACCATCACTGGAGAAAGGAACTCTTGTAAAAGCTGTGTAGGGTGGCCACTTCTGCATCTCCAAAAGGAGGATGAACAAACCGTGTGCATGGATTACCAGACTAGCTGCCAGTATTGCTGAACTAGCAGAATCACTGACTGTACTGCTTAAGGAATTGTGGAATTTGTTTCAAAAGTTACACTCCAAGCTCTCTAGTGGGTTGTAACCAGAAAACCATTTTCATATGTGTAACCAATAACTTTAGGCTTGAGAAAATTCTAGGAGTGTCAATACCAAATCCTCAGATAACTTTCATGCAGCTCTCAACTTCAAGGATTAAGTTGACAGATGGAGAGAGATGCTTTTTTGTTTCAGTGAGCAAAATAACATGAATGAAATCATATTGTCCAGAATTTGTATGTTTGCATTTCAAGTTCTCTCCATCTCACCTATAGGTTTGTGAAATTTGGTAAATGTTGACAAAAACTAATTGAAATGAGATTCTTCTCCATGTACATATGCCAAATTCAGTAGGTACCATCCTCTCTTAGCATAGAGATTATTGTGCTGCACCTACTGCCAGACAGATGTTAAAGGTGAGGAACCTCATTAGAAAGAGGTAGCATCCCTAATTCAGCATTAACATGGCTGGGATACACAGGAATTCACACTTTTTAGAATGAAGCGTCTACATTTGACACTTTGAAGGAATTTTTTAAAAAGCCACATTATTTTTCCAACCAAATATGATCAATTTTTTAAGTTCTGTCAAATTCTTATTTTAAAAATGAGCTGAAATAAAATTCTTATTAATTCCTAATGAATACACATTTAAGAACTAAATTTATGTATCTGCAAACTGTCTGAAGTCTAAATTCACTGCATTTGATTTTCTCTAACAGAGGTGTACAGGCTGAAACAAGAATGATGTTAAACTTTCTTAATTCATGATCATAATTAAAGCATCTTCTAAGTCTAATCAAATGATCATATGTACAACTTCTTTTTTATACTGTTGAGTCATATGACCCAAGCCAACATTCATGCACAGGATGCCTTCGGATATCCAATTGGTAGGGAGCACAAGTGGGAGGTGTTATGGGCTTATCTCCAGCTTCTCAGCTTCCCAGAGGTATCTGAGTGATGGGCCACTATGGGAGCAGAATGCTGGACCAGATGTGTCTTTGGCCTGATCCAGAAAAGCTCTCCCTATATCATATTCTTGGCCGAAGAGCCAAACCACAGCACTAGATTATGCAAGTATACACACACACATACATTCCAGTTCTTAGGAAAAGTGTAAATCTCCATTTCCTTTTTGTCAAGTCCTTTAATAAAGCTGGCCCTGCTCTTTTTCAGTGGCAGAAACTTCCTGGTTACATCAGAGCTCATCCATCTTCCCGACGACTGCACTGTGGGTTACATCGTTGAGTGCAAATTAGGGGGTTGCCTGGTCCCCAGTGCTTTATTTCACTCTCACCTGGAGAACCTAAAACTAATCAAGAAACCCCAGCTAACCAAACAGGTGAGATTGTACAGTCAGGAAGGGAGAAAATAATAAAGGATAGTGGTGCCCATGCTGGAATGAGTCACAACATTCCAAGATCCTCATCTCAGAACTCCAGAACTGGAAGGGACCTTATGGAACATTGAGTCCAGCCCCTGTCAAAAGAGGCACATCAAAAGCCCAACTTTGGGCTCCACGGCTAGAGAACATGAACAGCTTGAGTCCAGCCCCTGTCAAAGAGGCACATCAAACGCCCAACTTTGGGCTCCACGGCCAGAGAACATGAATAGGATGAAATTGGCCCATTGTTACACATTGGGTTTGTAGGATCCAATCATCTACATATCAACAAGATATGTAGTTCCCCATTCATTACTTGTAACTAGAAATAGTCTGCAATTGTCTTTGCCAGGGAATTTGCAGGATGATCAAAATGCAGCTGGGCTTGCCTCAATATGGGCGAGACAAGGAGGGTCAGGAGAATGGGGGGAGGGGCAGAGAGGAAGGAGAAGGCTGGAAGCTAGTCCTTCCTATCGTCTCCCTTATAATGGCGACAGTGATTAAATTAATCATGCATTATTTAGATGAATCCTTCCTGAGAAATGCTTCCCCAGACGCTTCTCAGCAATAATAGGCAAGGGAATGAAAAGGCAATTAAGTCACCAATAAAACTTTTCCAGTTAGTGTACAGGGAAAAGGACCTCTTTTGCTCTGTCACTGAAATTTGAGGATCTGTGAGCTGCTCACTCCTCTCCTGAGGACAGAGCAACCCAGTCAAGTGGAATCACATAATGCAGCTGTTGATGGAGTTCACCATTCAAGGATGAATGTGATCAATTTTATGCTAGTTTTATATGCCGAGACAGCAATCTACTGTATGCTGTGCTATACTGTGCTGTGTTACCTTGTCTTCTCTTCTCTTGTCTTGTCTATCTAAGTGATTTCGAAGATAACTGGTACCTCCCAGCTTCCTTTACCCCATGTGATTCTGATTACTCTGTAGATTGACTCTGAGTTGGATCTCCTTGCCTCTGCCTTTAAATGACAGTTGCTTAAAGGAAGAAGAACCTAGGGACTTGGAATAAGGTGGAGTATTGTATTCTAACCCCTGGATGGAGGATTAGAAGATAAGAGAGATCAGAAATTGCATAGGCATTGTTCTCCATTCCTATATACCAATTTGAGAGATGTTTAATTATTTCAAGGAAGTACTGTACCCGTTGCAAAACCACCACGAGAGATGTTTAATTATTTCAAGGAAGTACCTGTTGCAAAACCACCACCCCGAATCTTGTGTTAATTTCAAGAATAACTTGTTTTATTTGACATAAGCCTTTGTGAGCTACAATCCAGAAAAGCGTATAACAGACAAAACGTGTTCAGTTTTTAAAGGGCTAAAAGATTCATTAAAGGTATTTTTTTTTCTGCAGCAATCTGGCACAGCTACCTCCTTGAAACAATTACAAATCTTTCAGATGGATTGTTTCAGAATTTTATCTTGGAAACTGTCTTGGGAAGGCTTTCTCTCCCAAGAAAATATCAAAATATTATGACTAAACCAAATATTAATTAAAAAAAATAAAAAATGTTGCTCTCTTTTAAAGAGACTCGTAGATAGCCATCTTTCAGGGAAATCACATCCTGAATGTAAGTTTTCAAGTCAGATCTAATGGCTGTAATTAGGCAGGACAGGCAGGGATCAGGAGCAAAGGTGGGATAGGTGAAAAAAAGAAGCTTAGTGGAATAGTCTTCAGATCTGTCTGTCTGTGTCTCTGCCTGTGTGCATATGTGTATGTGACTGTGAGACTAAATGGCCTTGAGTAGACATGAAATATATACTGTACACAAGTCATCTTTTTGGCTGTGATGCATTAAGAACTTGTATGTTCCTCATCTCTCTCCTTCTTTCTGCTATTCCCTGGTAGGTCACTCTCAGCTATGGCATTTTTGAGAAGAAACTCAATGCTATCAATCTGGCTGGTCCTTTCTCTCAGGAAGAGGATCCTTCCAGGTGTGTCCTCCTAAAAGCTCCTTGGTCACAATGTGCTGGCAAAGTAAGAAGGGTTGACAGAGGAGGATACGAAGCATTAATAATGCCTCAGCAGAGATTTGGATAGAGATCATGCGAGAGAAGAACAAAGCCCTGCAACCAATGTGGAGTAGGGAGAACTGTAGAGTCAGAGTGTTGGCTTCATTCCCATCACTCTGAGTTTTCTTAACTTTTATCATCCTTTAAATGGAGCCTTTATTGCAAAAGGCTGGAATTGAAGCCAAATATTCAAGGTTGTTCAGGCCCAAGGGGCTGGGGAGGGTGGACTCTGGCTGCAGCTCCTGTTAAATCTACACAGGATTAGAAGACTAGTGACATCCGTCTCTGGGCATTTCACTGCAGTGCAGTATGAGAGCATCTGGTGTTGGATGGGGCACTGGGGAGCATGCACTCCTCCTACGCAACATTTCCCTTCTCTGCAGCATGAATTATCTTCATATGATTCCCTGCCTCCTCTCTCTCTCTCTCTCTCTCTCTCTCTCTCTCTGTCTCTGTGCTACTCACCTTCCCAGATTCCGGACTCTTCACTGCCTTCTGTATCCAGACACATCCTGGTGTCCACAGTTGGTCATATAGTGACAAGATCTCTGAAGCCCTCACCATGCTGGAGAAGTCTCTATATCAGGGCAAATCCGTTGGGCTCCCAAATCTCCATACAACAGAACTGCCTTCCAAGTGACATAAGGAGGACTGATAGTTGGAAAAACACTAAAGTGGTGAATGGGACATCTTGTTGATTTTGTGAACAAGAGACAGAGCAAGAACTATTTTTTTGAGTTCTGCCAAATGTGCTGGCAGGTGGTCCTGGGGGCAGTTCACACTGTGTCCAGTGCAAAAGGACATCTCCTGCCCGTCCAGGTCCAATATCATGGATTACTCAACGGCATATATATGGCTGGTGCTATTCTATTTTTTTAAATATGAATTGAAATGGTCTAATGCTAATGGTCTCATACATGGTGTACCAGCAAATGACTCTGAACACACCCAGTTTTATTTCAGAAACTAAGCAAGTTTGAGACCGGTTAATGCTTGAATAGAAGACCAGAGATCTCCAAACAGGAGCAGGAAAGAGTTCTTCCTTGAGGGCCTCTACCAGCTGGAATTGGCAACAGTGAACTAGAAGGATCAATGACCAGATTCAGTAGCAGCCAGTTTTCCATGTGGGTAAATTCCCCGCAGACCTCCAGCTGCATGACCCCCCAAGTTCTATATGTAGCCCATAATGTTACTTTTTAAAATCTCCAGTGTGACTGGAGAAGTCTGGTCTGGCCATTCCATTAATGCATTACATTCCATTGCACAGACCATTAATACAAACAATGTTGCTCTTGTGTCATCAGTGGCTTTCTTCATCCTATGTTTTTTCTGTTGATGTAATTCAGCATTTGGGTGTATACTTTTAATACATGGCTTGTGTTCTCAGGATGTGTTTCCTCATTTCCAGTTGAGATAATCAAATGACAGCCAGAGAAAATGAACAAAAGTCATTATGTCTACTGCAATAACCTTCCTTTGATGTGAACTCAACTCAGTTTCCTTCAGAATTGCTGGACTGGATTCTGAGAACAGGAAAAATATTGGTGTGTATATGTGGATCATAATTATTATCATGACCAGAAACAAGTACAACAATTTAGCAAATGTTCAAAACGTGTCACTGATCACTGCATCATAGAACTTTCATGCCAGCAGGGATTCAAGTGGTAAACAATTCCAACCCAATGCAAAGCTAAATGCAAACCCTGACAGATGGACATCTAATCTTTGTTTAAGAAGTTCTAATGAAGTAGAAATGGAGTTAGACCTCCTAATGTCGAACAACTCATATTGCTGTGGGATTTTTTTCCTAATATATAGTTGAAATCGCCTTTAATTTGAATTCATTCCTTGTGGTGCTACAGGGGGAATATAATTTTCAAACTTGCAACAACCCAATACCTTTAATTTGAATTCATTCCTTGTGGTGCTGCAGGGGGAATATACAGTACTTTTCAAACTTGCAACAACCCAATAAGTTCAAAACATATTATGGACCTCCAGGTTGTAGAGCTGAGAACTGAAGCAAAGAGACCACCAAAGACCATCTGGGAAGAACTAACTTATTACTTGTTTACCATGTACAGCTCACTTTTCTTCTGATGAGTTCAAGACAACATACATAGTTCTTCCTTTCTGCTTTTTCCTCATAACAACTTGTGTGGTAGGTCAGGCTGAGAGATAGTGAGTGGCCGAAGGACATCCAATGGATTTCATGACTCAATGGAGATTTCCCAAGTCCCAGTCCAACAGCTACACCACATTGGTTCTCTTCTTCCAGATGGTATGCCAGAGAACTATTTAGACAGCTTTAGTACAGGGACAGCAACATTCATAGATTATGTAGCTATCAGCATCAAATAGTTTTCATAATGGGTACATGCTTTTTCCATATTTAGAGGCAGGTACCAATGGCAATGGAACAGTAGTGAGATTGTTGTGGGGTTTGGCTTGTGGGCAGCTCTAAGGAACAAGATGCTGGAATAGAGATGCTTTTGATCTGGTTCAGTAGAGTTCTGCTTCTATGCTGGATACTTTTTTATCTTTTAGACACTGACATAGTCTCTCTAAGACATTAGTCTCTCTCTTCCCCTCCCCCCCCCCATGTTCCTCACCTTGGATTCTTTGAACAGGGTGGGTTAGAATTTCAGAATAAATTGAATGGAGTATGCCTATCCAGTATTTTCCATGAGTGTTTCCAAGAAAGCTTGAAGATGTCTGAGGAGCATTGCCTCCTTGTAGAAGTAGGCCTATTGTGGATAAAGATGAGGCAGGCAGCCCAAGTGCTGGAATTTAGTGTTTCATGGAATGATGTCGGACAAATGGCATTGGGCTGAACACAAGCCATACAAGAAAATAATAAAGAAGCCAGAAATATTTGGACTGTGTGACACAATCTCCTGGGAAGGCATTCCCTGAAAGCCTAGTTGAAACAGTAGACATGAGAGTACAAGAGTGCTCTTGTGCTATTGGAAATGATGACAGTTGTAGTCTCACATATCAGGAGACTGTCAGCTTGAGAAGGGTTGCCACAGACTTTGCTTAAACAAAGAAGATGCGGAAAGGTGAGATTTGTGTTGGAGAATTTCCTTTCATATTATGCCCCACATCAGTTGACTGTAGGAAGGGAATTATTACAATTTGTATATTGTCATCTTGCCCTTCCTGCCTGGTTCTCACCACCCTCATTTTATCCCATATCAGGAGACTGTCAGCTTGAGAAGGGTTGCCACAGACTTTGCTTAAACAAAGAAGATGCGGAAAGGTGAGATTTGTGTTGGAGAATTTCCTTTCATATTATGCCCCACATCAGTTGACTGTAGGAAGGGAATTATTACAATTTGTATATTGTCATCTTGCCCTTCCTGCCTGGTTCTCACCACCCACATTTTATACAAGCACAATGAGAAGTAGGCTGGGTTGAAGGATTCCAGCTGGCCCAAGATTGTCCAGTATCCTTCAAGTGTAAGTCAGGATTAAAAACTGGGTATCTCTGAAAATGATCTAGTATTCTAATGGCTTCCCAGCCCTGAGTAACCCAGGCATCCTTGGACATCTGCCAACAGTTCTTGAGCTGCTTCTGCTTGCCTTTGGTTTAAGGACAAAAGTGGGAAGCCATCAACACAAAAATAGGTCTTGTTATTAACTATAATGTGTTGTTAGCTATGACTTGACTGAGAATTCCAGAGTATCTCTCATGGTCAAATGTATTCTTGTAATGTTGTTCTGTGCCATCAAGTTGGAATCAACTTACAGTAACCCTAATAGGGCTTTCAGGTGGTTTTACCAGTGAGCTTCCATGGCTCAAAAGGGGTTCAAACTCAAGGTTCCTGAGTCCTAGTTTGTCACTCTATCCACTACACCAGGGGTTCCCAACCATAGGTAGCCCGGGTGTTCTTACACTGCAGTTCTCAGAAGCTTTCACCACCAGTTGTGATGGCCAGGGTTGCTGGGAGTTGCCCTCCAAGAACACCTGGGTTGTGCAAGGTTGTTTCAGTTTTTTTCACTGCAGGCACTACAGTGTACTGTACTGTGCTAGTCTCCCCCTCGCCCCCCGTGCATATCAAGACTTTGTTGTTGTTTTTTTGTTGCTGCACAGAGGATGTGCAGCCTTAGCCATTTCTTCAAACCACTCCAGCATGATGCTGTTAAAATTTACCCTCTTTCTAACATGCAGAATAACCCCAGGTACTTTCTTTTGAAAATCTTTCTGATGATTATCCTGGCTTTACAAGTTGCAGCTATTTCTTCCTTTGAGAACTGTTCTAGGTACAGGCCCATGGGGATCAAATAACATTGCACTGATCAAAGCCCTTGGAAGTGAAGCCTCCACTTCAGTGAAGTGGGAAACAGAGTATGTTTTGAAGTCCTTGGAGTAGGTGAAAGTTTCTTTTTTAAAATACTGAATGAATACATTATGAAAAAGTTGCCATGATTAATTTCTGTTGGTCATGACAGAACTTTAGTTTTTCACAAAATACTTCAGTCGGCAAGATGAGCCCACTTTGGATAATGTGCTTATCTTTGGCATAGCAAATGCTTTCAGCTCCTGAATTTTAAGAAGAACAATTCCGTCTGAAGAAGGAAGATGAGGAAGATGATACACATATAATCCGGGATACTGTGATTGCTGGGGTAAAGGATGGTAATGGAATGTTTCTGTTTCAGAAGATGATCTGAAAGGGTTAGACTACGTCCAGACTGTCTCTAAAGTGAAATTGGAGATAATTGGGTTAGACCTGTGCTGTTAGAAAGAACTGGAAGTGAGGGGCATTAATGCAGATCAAGAACAAGAAACTTCTTTCAGCTGCAAGGGCCAAATTCAAATTCAGAGTTCTCCAGAGCTGCAAAACTAAGATCATGGCAACTGGTCCCCTCACCTCCTGGCAAATAGAAGGGGAAGATATGAAGGTAGTGACAGATTTTACTTTCTTGGGCTCCATGATCACTGCAGATGGTGACAGCAGCCACGAAATTAAAAGACACCTGCTTCTTGGGAGAAAAGCGATGACAAACCTAGACAGCATCTTAAAAAGTAGAGACATCACCTTGCCGACAAAAGGCCACATAGTCAAAGCTATGGCTTTTCCTGTAGCGATGTATGGAAGTGAGAGCCGGACCATAAAGAAAGCTGACCAACAAAAGAATCGATGCTTTTGAATTGTGGTGCTAGAGGAGACTCTTGAGAGTCCCCTGGACTGCAAGGAGAACAAACCTTTCCATTTTGAAGGAGATCATCTCTGAGTGCTTGCTGGAAGGACAGATCCTGAAGCTGAGGTTCCAAAACTTTGGCCATCTCATGAGACGAGAAGACTCCCTGGAAAAGACCCTGATGTTGGGAAAGGGTGAAGGCAAGAAGAGGAGGGGACGACAGAGGACGAGATGGATGGACAGTGTTACCGAAGATACCAACATGAATTTGACCCAACTCCAGGAGGCAGTGGTAGACAGGAGGGCCTGGCATGCTCTCGTCCAGGGCGTCATGAAGAGTTGGACACGACTTAAGGACTAAACAGCAACAAAGAGCTGCAAAAGTATGGGATTGAAAAAAACTATCATAGATCTCTTTAACTAGCCATGAAACCTCAAGAGAATCATTTCATCCTTTCAGAATGTGGAATGAGGGTAGGAAACTAGCATACAATGGTTTTATGAGGTGTCATGGCCCTCTGAAGAATACCAGAAAGGGCTTATTTGGCCCAGGACTTGAGGTTCCCAATCTCTGCTGTAGTAAAAAACAACCAACAAACCAACCAACCAACCAACCAACCAACCAACCAAACAAACAAACAAACAAACAAACTCCAGAATAAAATAAAACTGGCATTTAAAAAAGAAAAAAAGAAAAGAAAGAAGTGGTAATGGTGCAATAAAGCTGACCAAATCATTCTGGGAGTGTTTTAAACACCAGAAATAACAATAATGATTCTGTTTAAGAATACGTTTTGGAAGTACATGCAATATATAAAGCAAAATTAAGAGGGAAAAGGGGACCTAGAAAATTACAAAAGAAGAAGAAGGGTAGAATGTAATATTTTTCAGTCAAAATGCTGCCATAACAGTGATGTCTCCATGTCCAGCAAACCAATGAGAAGATCTGGTCTAGAGGTCCCGGAATCCCCCAGTACTGGACTTGTTAGCTGGGGGATTCTTGGGAGTTGTGGCACAATGAGTAACTTTTCCAAACTCTGGAGAGAATTTTCTCTCATATGTAGAGAACAGCATCTTAGCAGATCCAAACTGCAGGCTTTAATCTGTAAGCTAGTGAACTCACAGGATTGAGGGTAAACAGATGGCAGAGTCCTTGTCAGATCAGAAAGCAGGTACCAGAAATCTAGATCATCCAAATGGATGACCCATGTTCTCCAAGAGGCCACACCTTGTCGTTTTCTTAAGGCAGTGGTTCTTAATATTCCAAAA